CTTTCCTAGAGGTCCTCATCTGAGTGTGTACCCGCAGGGCCACACCTTGAGCCCATTCCTGCAAAAGGACTCCTCGGCATGGCAGTGGCCCCTTAGGGACACAAACCCTGGAGCCGGGCTGTCTGGGAGCCACTACAGGCACCAGATTTCATCATGCACCTGTGACCCGCATGTGAGATGTTATTCCACATCTGAAAATCTTCATTTCCTCTCCTCAAAGATGCAAACAATCCCTGCACATCCCCGAGAGAGTGACTGGGACAACAAAAGGACACAACCTATGTAAATGGTCAAGGAAACGCCTGGCACATACTTGGCACTCGACGGCTGTTGGGTGTTCTTTTCTCTCACAGGTCGTGCCGTTTTCATGGTGGTGGCTGACGTTCTGACCACCCATGACAATGAGCATCCCCTTCCTGGTGAGGAGGGAAGGTGAGGTCCTTAACTTCTGGGTCCTACAACAGTGCCACATCTCTTATTCCATCTGGGCTTGGCCAGAAGGTCACTTTTACAGATGGTCTCAAAGTCTCCATGCAGGCTCACTCCTCAGGGCCCTGTGGTGGATGGGGAGTGAGGACAGACCCAAGGGGGAGGAGACTCGAAGGGATGCAGAAGTTTTCAGGTTCTCAGCATGTGTTATTCGAGGAGGCTGGAAGTGCCACAGTTGGTCGGTAGGCTGCTATCACTGGATTATCCTGATGACTTCTCCTTTTAACTTAGCCAGTTTTTGCCTGGGATAAAGACTATGGAAGAGAATAAAGTGGATAGAGGATAGGGTTTTGTCTCTTGTCAGTTCCTTTGAAGGTAGAAGATAATTGGAAATCGAGGGTCGTAGCTTTGCTGAGTGTTCTTCATGGCAGTGCTAAAAGTTGTTAAATCGAATCCCACACTGGCGGTTCAAATGTGCCAACCCTCTTCATGCTGGCAGCAACCGTATACGGAGGAGCACAGAATCAGGCTGCATTGGGCTGTGGCAGTGGAACAGCTATGTAAAGGTAACTCCCACAATGTGAAAATTTTAATACTATCGATTCGGGGGCACCTTTGCTAAAATGCATGTGAGTCTAACAACCCAAGCCGGAACTCTACCCAGTGATATGCTCATAATGTTTAGCAACCAAATCTGGGGAGAAAACAAAGTAACCACGTGGTCTGGAGCCTCCATCGAGCCCTGAGATACAAATGCTCCCAGGTGGCCACTCCTGGATGCCAACACGATTTGTTGGATGAGAAAGCGGAATGAGCCGTACACAACTGAGTGAGCCCCTTCAGCACAACGCAGATCCCACCCCCTCGCCAGTGTGTGACCTACTCCTCTGTGGGTTCATTTCTGAAGCCTTGTCTGAAAAATGGGGTGACAGTAGCTTCTCCGGGGGACTGACTCACGTAAAGAATTTATGTCTGGCTCACAGTGAGCGTTCAGTAAGTGTCAGCCGTCGTGAATGTGGTTTTCAACGTAGTGGTTCGTATGAACTCAAAGCATCTCAGGATAGCCGAGTCTTCATCGACACTTCTATGGTTTGTGTCTCGATGTCCCCCCAAAGCCTCAGACATTCATAGGTGGGGTGTGTGATGCTGATTACGGGTGTGTGATGACTGGATTAGCCTACTGTTGGTTTAACATAGTCTGGCTGTGGGTGAAGGGAAGGCCCACTCTGGGTGTAGGTGGCACCAACCAATGGGCTTGTAGCCTGGAAGGGATAAAAGGAAAGGTAGGTTCACTGCTTCACTGCCTCCTGCCCCCGCGCATGGACTGTTTCTCCCCTGTGATGCCCCTCTGCCATGTCCCTCTGCCTTGGAGCCAGCTGACTATGGACTGAAACCTCTACAAACGGAGCTGGAATGATCTTTTCCTCCTTTAACTTGTGAGTGTTGAGCATTTTGTCCCAGCAACAAGAAAGTATTCAAAAGACATATTCAAGGTCCGGGGATTTGCCTCAGGGGTTCCACTGTCTGCATCACAAGCGCAAGGACCCAAGTTGAATCCCCGGTATCAAAAAAAAAAAAAAAAAACAAAAAGACATACTCAATTCCTACCCAGAGCAACTTTCCTCAGACACATGATGCAATGCTACCATCCTATTTCAGACGTTATATAGCACTGACCTCCTATGTCCACCCACACTGAATTCCCTCATCTCTCTTTGCAGACTTAAAAGATTTCTGAGTGATACTTCTGTCCCTTTACATTTCGATTTTAACTGAAGTATTTAATGACTCTGCATATCAGTTTTCTCAGATAAACAGCCTCTTAATGCCAAATCATTCTGTCAGCCAATTATTAGCATCACTCCGTTTTATAAATACAAATTGCTCCCAACAGAATTTATGAAAAATAGTGACTCTGTTGTATAGGTGGAGGGAAAAGCCAGTGTCCCTGTATTCGCCTCACTAATTATGATGTTCTAATCCATATATCTATTTCCAAAGAATACAGGCACGCGGTAATCTAATTACACAAAAGCACTGCAGTGTCGTGAGACTGGAATGAGCTCCGGGTTCCTGAACCCACGCCACCCTGAAGCCCCCTTCTGCAAGAAGGACAAGAGCTAAATGGGGGATGAGGTGCGGTTTTTTATTAAAGCCTGGAAAAGCTGTGTTCCCCAGTCCCAGGTTTCTCTGCTGTGCTGTTTTAGCTCACTGGGGATCTCTGTACCTGTCCTCATTGAATCTAAAATGTCCAGGTGTGAGGAATAGAATTAGCTGAGTGTCTGTGCCCCTCCAAAATTCCAATGTTGAAACCTAGGTTCAGTGTGAATGCATTCAGGGGCGGGGACTTGGGGCAGTAATTAGGTCCAGAGGGCAAAGCCCCTGTGAGTGTGAATTGTGGCCTGAGCTCCCGCACCCTTGTGCCGTATGAAGTCCATCTGCAGCCCAGGGACAGACCCTCACCAGACTCCAAACCTGCTGGCGCCCTGCTTTTGCCCTTCCCAGCTTCCAGAACTGTAAAAAATAACTTTCTGTTGTGTACTGGCCCCTAATCTGTGGTGTTTTTCTATAACATCCTGAACAGACTGAAAGACAAACTCCAACCCCCACTTTCATCCATCCCCAGGAGCAAGACACTGGCAGGAAAGCGGAAGCTGACGGTACAGACGCGGCCATGCTGCCCGAAAGGGAGGACTTGGTCAGGATGCAGGGGCAATGGTGCATGAATGAGGAGCAGCGGAACCCAGCCTGCTAAGAATAAGAGGTCCACATCCGGAGGGGTAGGGATTTAGCTCAGTGGTTCTGGAGCCTGACTCGAAAGCGCAAGGACCCGAGTTCGAACCCCGATACCAAAAAAAAAAAAACAAACAAGCAAAAAAAATCCTGGACACAAATCTTAAGGGCCAGGATTTGGCTCAGTGGTTCTACCCGCTGCCTCAAAAGAACAATGGCCCGAGTTCAATCCCTGGTACCAAAAAAAAGAAACTGAGCAAGAAGAGGTCCACATCCAGGTGTGGTGGTGCGGGCCTGTAATCCTGACACCCCAGGAGGCTGAGGCTAGAGGATCACAAGTTTGAGCCCAGTCTGGACAATTCAGCAAGGCCATGTCTCAAAGTTTTAAAAAATGAAAAAGAGCTGGGATCTGAGTTCAATTTCCAGTACTGCAGGAATAAAAAAAGAATATGAGGTCCAGGAAAAGCCAAGTTACACTTTGCATGGTGGGTAGAGGAATCACAGGGCAAAGGCCAGCTATAGAAGCTTTCATTCTTTCTCTAAGGGGAAAAAATACGAATACAAGGAGAGAAGAGGACACCCTTCCTTCCTACTCTCCTCCGACAGAAGCCACATGTGGGTATGAGTCAAAAGTAATAGTTCCAACAACTTCCAGTACCTTCCCTGGAGGCAACCACCAAGTCTTTCGCATTCATTCATTCAGTACGGATCCCTGAATATCTATTTTGTACCTGGCATCATCTCAGGACACATTAATGAACAGGAGGAGGCAGAAATATGCCCCATGAAGCCTTCGTTCTAAACATACTCCAGAAATACGCTGTGCACATGCAATGTGTGGTGGTTTTAAATATCTTTACAAAAACAGAGTGAGCTGGGCATTCTGACTGGTTCTCTCAGTGCATTATTACAGCCCAGTGACTGAGCAATCAGTGAGCTCCTGATGCTCTTGCATCCCTGAGTCTTTGCTTTACCAAACATGCCACAAAATTGAAGCAAAGTCCAGTTTCCTGTCCTTTGGAAAGTTATCATTTGATGTTACGACTCCTACAAAATGACTTTGAGAGCTTATTTTAGGGTTCCTAACATTTTTAAGTCATCAACTTATTTCAACAGCATTGTCACTGCCTAACATATTTTTGGAACTCTTCTGAGATTGCCACGAGAGTTAATTTATGTGTAGTGCCTCCCCTCAAAGTTCCCTTGTTTACTTGTTGCTGCATATAGCACTCGCCCTGACCATGGGCAGGGCCCTCTCCAAAGCAAACAGTGAACCTCCCTGGCTGAGGGGCAGCATCAGAGGTCTCAGCTGTTGTAGCCCATAGGTGGCTGCTGCCAATGCACTGGCCACACAGCTCCATCATGATGTTGGCCAAATACAAGTCAGGAAGGTCAAGCCACGACAGAGAGGCATTCGGAATAAATTCAGTGGAGGTCCAAAGAAAAACAGAGCAACTTTTGAATGATGTGAGGAGTGGGATAAAAACCCAGCACACGCCTTGGTGACCCCATAGGACCCACTGGAGCAGGACAGAAGCACCACTAGTCTACAAGCTCTTCTGGAGCAGCAGTTATCGTACTTCCCCACAGGCACCTGGCCCGTGACAGTCAGTCAAAAAGTTTTCTAAATGGGAGAGGAGTTAGGGAGGACCTGGCTGCTGGGGTTCAGGCGTGGTTTCTCTAAAGAGCTCAGCTTTTAACGAGGCCTACTGAAGGTGGGCCAAAGACCAAAGATAATTACCAAACAGTGGTGCATCTACAAGAACTATTTTCTGAAGGCTGAATCCAGAACAAGCTGATGTTAGGAAGACTGCCAAAAGAAACGGGGGCATACATACCATTGCTCACAGCCTGGGACAATAACTGAGGACAAAGGAGATGACACACACTCCACTTCCGTTTCACTCTCTTCTTCTCCAGCACAGCAGACACTCCATCCTAATATAGGAAAGTGGACACATGTATTAAGCAAGAATCCGTGAGAATAACAGTCAAGGCAGGTGGGGGAACCATCGGAGGGGAGCCAGAGGAAGAGTAGGACCCAGGAATGTCCTTCTGATGGGTCCAGGCTCAACCACCCACCCTCCCTCGTCACGTTCTGAAGAAACAAATAAATACAGCCAGTTAACACTGCTATCTACAGATTTCTGAGGCCAGCCACTGTTCTAAATGTTTTAGATATACTAACTCACTTCATCCTACCAACAGAAATATGAAGCATGTTCTATTATCTTCCCCTTTGTCTAGAAAATATACTGAACTCATCAGCATTATACATTTCAGAAAATTCATACACCAGCAAATGGAAGAACTGGGACTTGAGTTCAATCACTTTGATTCCAAGGGCCCGAGTCCTAACCACAAAGCCTCTGGAAATTAGACTCTGTTTTATTTCTAATAACAGCTCAAGTTGAAGGACACAACTTACATCCTGAGCAAGGGAGCTTTGTGAGGGGCTGCCCTACAAACAGCACGTTGTGGGGGTACATGGAGCAGGAACAGGGGCAGAGGGAATCTCTCAAGAATGGCACAGCCTGGAAGAGTGGAAAGGAGCTGCTGTTTTCTGGAAGAAACTCACTTTCACAGGGCAGAGGGAGTCCTTGAGCTGAGCCTGTGGTTCATTTGGAGCTAAGTTTAACAGTCAGATTAAGCTACTCTTGTGGAATGGACAGAAGAAAAGATGAGGGGTGGAGAGGACCCACTCTTACCAACACAGGAAGCCAGTGTCAGGGCAGTCAGTGGTAGGATCCAAGGCCAGCTCAGAAGAAAAATCCAGAACAGTACAAAGGGTGAGTGTTAATGCAAAGTGCAGAGGGTGCTCCCTGCAAGTGGACCATCACCAGGAGAAGTCTGAGATGGAAGAAGCTGCCAAAGGTGGAGCTGAGGACTGGGCTGCGTCAGCAACCGGTCAGCAATGTCAGTGAAGTATCTGCTGACACCTTTCTATGACAGACACTTTACATAGGCTGTGTTGGTCAGCTTCCTTTTGCTATGACAGAACACCTGAGATGAGCAACTTAAAAGGAAAAAAAAGTTCATTTTGGCTCATGATTTCAGAGTTTCAGTCTATAAAACCACTCGATCTGGCCCTATTGCTTTGGGCCTGTAGTAACACAGTACATCAAAGAAGGAGCACATCACAGCAGAAAAGCCTGTTGACCTCACAGAGGCAGGGAATCAGAGAAACAGGAAGGAGCCCCAAGTCTCAATATTCCCTCCAAGGCCACACCCCCATGACCTCACTTCCTCCAACTACGCCCCGCCTCTTAAAGGTCCCTCCACCTCCCAATAGCACCATGGGCTGGGGTCCGAGCCTTTAATACATGGTCCTTTAATTCCAAATTGCAGTGCTGCCTTACCTATCCCTCATAGACAACTTGTAAAATCCACTGTGTGTCCCTTTACAGATGAGGAAACTGAGGCATGGTACCATTCAGTACTTGCTTGTGGCTTCCCAGCTGTTGAATGCCAGCGCCATTCTTCCTCTCCCCCTCTACTAGGCTCCCTCCGGGCAAGGAAGAAAGAGAAACTTTCTGCAATGCAAAATATTCAAATGCTTCCCTAAATCAGAGCATGAGTTATAAATCCCCCACAGTGTATAATAAAGCCTTCAATGAAATGTTTAATATGGTTCCTCTCCAAAAGCACCTCACTTCCCACAGTTGACAATATTCTCACATCCCAAAGCTGGGGCACGAGGCTTAAAAACATGACAGAAGTCTTAGACGTGAAGCAGTCCTTGGACATGTGGTTGGCAGCCCTACGCTAATCTGAAGCTCCCAAAGAATCTCCAGTTTAATACGCTCCTATGTTCAGCCTTCCCGAGCAGCCCCTGAACTGATTCCAGGATCTCAGGAGCGAGCTGATATGATCTAACTTCCTGACTTTCTGCAGAGGAAGCTGGTGAAGGCACTGACCCAGCTACTCCTCCTGCAGCCATTTCCAAGTTTGTTGCTCCTGCAAAGCTGTTTTGGGATTGAAATTCTCCAGAAATTTTTTCCAGAAAAATCTCTTCCAAGAATTCATCTCAGTAATACTCTCTTTTTTTTGTTTGTTTGTTTGTTTGTTTTTTGAGACAGGGTCTCACTTATGTAGTGAGACTGACCTGGAACTCAGTCCAAAGAGGAGAAAAAGTATACAACTGGTCCTCTTTATCCACAGTACTTGCAAGGGGTGATTAAAAATTATGGTGAATGTTTAATTTTTTTTTAAAAGTACTACAGTAAAAGACACGTTGCCACAAATCTCTCTCCAAATACCTCCCCATCACTTTGAATGCATTTATCCCATTGTTCTGGCTGTTTTCTGAAGTAGTTTTGGAATCTTCTTCCATGAGTGTCTTTCTGAGGTATGATTTTAAAAACTATAGTGAGTGCTGCTGCAGTGAAAGAGGCAGGTTCATTCAAGAAATCACAGTGTGTCTGCCTTCTTCCACCTTATTCACAGGATCTGGCACCGTGTGACAGAATGACCACGAAAGGTGAATATTTGGCATTAATTCAGGACTTTAAGACAGCCACGCAGAACAACTGAAGACAGTGACGAAAGAGGATTCCGAAAGAGGCAAGAGAACAGGCAGGGTGAAGTCTGCTCAAAGCAAAGGAGAGCATTAAAATATGGAGGAATGGGCCAGGGATTTAGCTCAGCGGTTCGATGGCCTGCCTTGCAAGCGTAAGGACCCGGAGTTCAATTCCCGGTACCAAAAAAACAAAAAACAAAATGTGGAGGATTCATGGCAATGTGTATTTTCTTGTAATAAATTTTTTTATTGAAACATTCATCATAGTTTTTAATCACACCTCAAATGCTCTACAAAAAGCCTGCAAACCAAGCCATTGCTCCTAGGGGAAATCCAGGGTTAAATTCCTGATCACAAATTTGTGGCCACGTGATGAATATCTAATGGTCTTCATCTGTTTTGTTTTGCTGTAACAGAGTATCACAGGCTCTGTAGTTCTTGAAGCCAAGAAACTTACTTCACACCATTCTGGAAGCTGGGAAGTCCAATATCAAGGAACCAGAATCTGTCAAGGGCTCTCCCTCCATATGAGGACATGACAGAAAAGCAGGAGGGCAAGATTCTATGCCAGCAAATTCCAATGGCTGAGTTTCAGTCCTGCCACTACTATAGATCCACATGGAAGAAACAAAGTAGGCTTTCGGTCTTCAGAGCGCTTATAGATGCCTTTCCCATGACCCCCAGAAATATATGAATCAGGCTTACCCTAATGTCACAATAAATATCAAGTCAAGAAGCCGCTTGGTTTATTTCTCATTTGCAACTGTACTCAGGTGCCTCATCCATCTCGATTCAACAGATAAACTGATTCCGTGTGCACCAGAAAAAAACAGCTCATCGCTGTGTAAAATTTTACATCTGAGACTCACTTTCCCATGTATTCAATACCCTTATTCTCATAAAGAAACCAAGGCCCTACAAAATGAATCCCCCTTGGTCCCTCTAAAAGAAATCATAAAATGTGAGCCAGAAGAGCTCCTACAGCCATGTCTGTTGCTGTCAACCCTACGGAAGGCACCATCCAAGTTCCTGGGTCTGGCAGCTTCCCTTCGCTAGCACTGTACTCCAGAGGGCAGTCTATGAGTCATACTTTTCCTAAGTTTCATATTCCCTTTTGGTCTCAAAATTTGAAAAACAGAAGCAATTTCAGAACCAGATGTGAACTCTGCAGTGGCTTCCAAAACAAGGCTTCACTCCACAGCCAGCTGAAGACCCCACACTCAGTGGGCCCTGAGATGGCCCATTCCTCATCATACCAGCCAGAGGTGGCGCCGTGTTCCTCTGAGGAAGAAGAGGACGGAAGTCGGGGAGGACAAAGCTGGTTTCCCCCAGACTGTCAGCAAATCTAAACAAGTGGTTTACATCAACTCAAACTCATTTGGAGACACCACACAATAAAGAGTTTATTTGTCATCAATTTGGGTTTTTTTGTTGGGCCAGGGACTGGGAGGCATTAACTGGAGAAACTAATTCCTCTCCCATAAAGAGGGAACCAGTAATGATGACTCTAAGCCTGTAGGAGTAAATTGTAGGAGTAAATTCCAGTTCACAGTCTCTCCCTGAGAATCCCTTATTCTGTCTCTTTCAAATATGGAAAAGCCTTTCAAGTTCCATTTTCAATCTCCATCTTCCTCTTGATCCCTGTGCCTCTGATACCTCAGAGCCACTTTCCGTGTGTGCTCGAATGCAACAGTTTCCACCTGCCATTTTTAATAAGCACTTCCAGAATGGATCACCATCAGCCCAGGCCTCTGCTCTTCACCATACAGAAACACGGTGGCCTCGGGCACCGGACAGTTCATGTCCCAACTCTGACACTTCCTAGCAGCATCGTCTCCACATCTGTCACAGGAGGGTGGTGATGGTAGGTAGGGTTGAGGGCAGAGTCAATGAGCTATTACGCATGAAGAGTTCAGACACATGAATGGCCAAGCGCATACAAAGTTCTTGCGAGTGTTGGCTGTCATTCCAGTTGCATTTCTAAGGAGGAAATAAATCCCAGGTTCCTCTATGTTATATGTGGCTGTTGTCAGAGGGGTCCCCCAGCCTCTGCCTGGGTACCTGTTTGTCTGTGTCAGCCCTCCCTAGAAAGCCACGCCACTCTCACATTCAAATGCTTGGGTAGACATCACTAACTTACTGAAAACACAAACATCCATTTTTTAGTTTCCCTTACACCGTAGAACCCACCTAACTCTATTTCTTCCTGTTGGCCAGATTAAGGCTCATGATAAAATGGAACAAAGAGACAAGGGTGATAAATGCTAAGCCATCTCTACATTTCAAAGCCTAATAATTAAAGGGCTCTTTACTACGACCTTTGAATTGGATTTCTACTCAACTCAGGACCTGATGCGCCTGCTTCCCTGGAAATTGCCCACTGGTAAGCCCTGCGCCCAGCTTCCCTGGCTCCAAAACT